CCCGAGAAGGACCCGGAGTAGTTGTAGGTTGAGACTCAGAAGGAGACGTCACAGTGACAGGTTCGGAACAACTCCGTACCAGACGACAGTCTGAGTTTCTCGGAAGTCCAAACGGCTTACGGTTGGTCAACGCCATTGGAAACAATCCAGAGTATCACCGTACGTCATTCGTCACAACGATACGCGATACCTATAAGTTCGATATGAACTTACCGTAGACAACAAAACAGTTCTAATACGATTTTAAATGAAAGGGGTTACATGAGGGGCGATCCTACTCTCTTCAACGTTGTTTGTGTCAACCTCTACCATATATCAATATTCATGAAAATAATATTTGTCACACTTGTTTTACCGTCCGTACCTTCGGTCCTATTGTTTGCTTTCTCCCGAGTGTCCAACTATTGATTAGGTTTGTTTTCCTCTTGTTTCCTAAGGCTTTAGCAAAAATGCAGAGGATTGTTTGAAGGAAGATGTGCATGTTTAATGGGACTTTTTGGAGGGAGAAGGGCTCTTTTCATTTAACATTTTTGAATGGGACTTTGTGGGGATTTTTGGATGGGGGTGCATTTTTGTTCATTTTTTAATGAGTGGGGTTGGGGGGGATGAGTAATATTTAACTCAACATTCCTGTTTTTGTTCTTCAATTAAACAAATAATTGTTCAATAAAATAATTAAAACTTGTTCTGTTATCCTTGAAAAAAAAAAAAAAATCTGTTGAAATGTCATGTTTTTTGTTTAATTTTGCATCGAATATTTCCAAAATTCCCCAGCTTAACTTCCCATGGAAACTTTCCGGAAATTTACCGGAAATGTTCCGCCCCTTTGCAACCCTAATTAACAGTCATCCTGATGATAAGAGGATACACGGATTGCTTACTTGTCTCAAAGAATATATATTTATTTATTAAAACTGTGTGGAAAGCTTATAATTTTACCAAACTAAGAGCTGGTTATGCTCACTGCTACAGGGATCTTTCTTCAGGCACGTTAAGACTTCGCAAAATCGCTCAAATTCCACAAAGCAGCTTTTAACAAAGTACAAAGCCAAATTAATGTGGTTTTGGAATCTGTGTCAGAGTCAAACTTCAAAGAACAGGGAACATGAATTGCTGGCTGGAATCTGACTTGTGGACACAACAAAGCTTTGTTCTCTTCCATGTCTGCTAAATGTCTTATTAAGGCCGATGGGTGGGAGGTCGACCAATGTCACATTGTGTCATTCTTTCACAAAAAAAAAAAATGTCTGCAGTAGCTTTACAACAAGATATTGTTTATCACACAACATGCAACGTGATTATGTCAAATCCTGGTCTCCATGCTGGAAGATACTGTATCACAGCTTCCATACATGTTTTAGAAGCTAGCTATGATATTGCTCTGGGGGAAGAGACTGACTGACTCATGGTAATCAGTCTCTGCATTACTAATAATTCCGGATTGTTATGTTTTATCCAGCTTTGGCTCTCATCACTTTTTACTGCAGAACAGTCATGTCAAACGGTTACCCAAATAGGCATAACATGTTTGAAATCCTACAAGGATATTAACTTTTTCCGTATTTGGAAATGATTTAAGTTCAACCAAGGAAAGCCGCAGGATCAAACCGGAAGGTTTGTGAGAAGAAACAGCAGGTGGATTAATACATCAATAGACAACATTGTATTACTGCCAGCTTGTGTAAATACCCAGATGTCTTACAGGGCTATTACTACAGATATAATATAACGTCAAACTGTCACTGCAATGCTCTCTCACAGCTCTAAACGAAATAACTGGCACATGTTTAAGGCTGAATACAACCTGACTCAAATTCTAATCATTCCAACAAAGATATCCACTGGGTTTAACAAAAGGATGAATGAGTGACATGAAGCATAATTGTTTAACTGAATCACAGAGAGTAATAGAAGAGTGTCATGGAAAACTCTCAGTTGTATTGTGCAGGATAAATGCCAAAAAAGAATAAAAGATTACTCCACACGGAATCGTCTCGAGAAACATGTCCGTCCACACGTGACCGCTCGACCCGCTGGAGACGCTGTAGTACATATGCCGGTCCTGTAAGTGGCGCTGTAGTTCCGCCACAAAATACAACGAAAGCAACGAAGAAGACCCCCCGAGCATGGTTGCCATGGTTGCCTTTCTGTTTATTCTCCGCGGTGGATTTAGCAACATGTAGTTCATGTAGTTCTCCATGTCCACTTGTTGCTGATGGCTGTGGTAGAGGAGCTGTAGATTTTGCACTAAAATATGTAGCATGGTCAGTAGCACGAAAGCAACCCTGTGATCCGCCATTGTTGTTATTGTTGGCGAAACACATCAGCAATGACGCGGGGGTGAGCAGCAGAGGTGGGGAGAGACGGGGCTATGGCGTCATCGTTATCAGGAAATGATCGTATAGGTCAGGACGTACACACGGAGCCGTTTGGCCCCCCAGAGCGTTTCGTTTGAGGGCTCCGTTTCCGCGGTTCCGTTACGGCCTCGTGTGGACGAACCGTCCATACGATAGAGAACTGTAGCGAATACAACCCGTTTCGTCTCCGTGTAAACGTGGCCTAAGGTGAGTTCCTCACGCTCCTAAGTCAACTATTGATTCCCTGTGCCTGGTTTCTTACTGGATCTGACCTGGCTCATCACTGGCATTCCTAGTGTAGTTACTGAATATATCGGTAACAGTTGGTTTTAAACAGCAGCAAAGTTAGTTTGACAGACATTCTACATCATGTTATATGGGTTCAAATATATATACTATGTCTGCTAAATGCTTCAGTTTTGCATCATACTGTACAGTTGCCTCGAGTACAGTATTTGTGCAGTACATATACAGCGCGATCGCATATGTTCACCTATATATTCCTATCCCCGGCTTACATTTGGCTGAGTCTAAGCTGAAAGCTTATAGGTCTGACAAATGTCTCTTTTAAACAAATGCATATTTACAATCAGTGCCGCTCACACTAACACATTGTGCGTGAGTATCTTTATGACCTGACAAAGGAGTTGGATGCATTGCTACCCTATAAAACATTTCCAAAGCTGATTTCATGCAATTATTTTAAATCATTCATTGTATACAACCTTGCTTTCTAGCTACAAATCAGTTTCACTGCGTCTTTGGCACATGTTTGTCTCAATCTGCACATTACCGCACTCAAAAGATTAAAACTTACAGCAAGGGTGTGTCGAACACGAATCAAACAAAACTTGGACTTTCTAATGAATGATCAGTCTTTATTGCTACATTTAGTCAAGAACAGGGTACCTCAAAGTAAGGACATTGGTACTAGTTCCAGTTTTTCCAACACCATACACGTTAAAGAGTTGGTTATTTCTTACCTATGATGCCACTGTCTTTGCTCTCAAGTGTGGAGCTGGGGCTAGTGATGGTCCCACAGGGGCTGGAGCGGCTGAGGGGGGGGCGGCTGGTTGTGCTGTTGAGCGTGGAACATGGGCTGTCAGTGCAGGGAGACGCCGTGCTGCTGGTCAGAGTGGAGCAGGGGCTGATACCCTGGCTAGTTATAGAGCACTGAGGGAGAAGAAGGATAAAATAAAGGGTTAAGGTACACCAAGAATGTGCTCTACTCATCAAATATGTCAATGAAGTATGAAGTCAACCCATTATAAACTGTCAGCTGGCATCATGTTCACATTTTCTCCGCATGAACAGCAATAAATACAACCAAAAATATGTGCCAACCTTATTTGGAAGGAGAAAAGAGAAAACTATAAAAAATGATTTGATTTAAGTTCTGGATCATGCGAAAGCAATGTATACGATCCCTCAGAAATAAACAAGCTTTTCATGTGTGAGCATGACACACAAGCCGAAGGGCATGGGCTATGTAAATGGAGCGAGGCTTGGAAATTACACACTCATATGTCTGGAGGAAACTAAAAAAGCCTGAAGAGAATTTCACAAGAGAATCAGTATCCATCGTTGTGACACAAAAGATACCTTCCTCATGCATACCGGCAAGCCTGTCTGACGACCATAAAGCGGCTAATGCTTTGTTAGAGCAAACTGACAACCATAGGAGACCAAATTAAGCTAGTGTCTCTTGTTTCTCTGTCACCCTTAACTGTATTCTGATTGCAACAATATACTGCGGCTGAAGAAGGTCATCCTCGTCCCCCTGTAAGAAGGGCCAAGCCTTTACTCAGTTTCTCACACACACACACACACACACACACACACACACACACACACACACACACACACACACACACACACACACACACACACACACACACACACACACACACACACACACACACACACACACACACACACACACACACACGATATTTCATACATCATTTTTTCCAATTAAAAAACACAGACACAAGCTCAAGTTAAATAAAATCAACCCTCATCCTTAAAATACCAAATTCACAGCAGATATTTTGTTGCCTGAGGGACTCTCACCCATAGTTGGCTTCTCGAGCACCACTTATTACAAGGCTTTGCATTGCCTCAAACAAACATGCCCTCCAATTAAAATCTCTGCAAAACAAAACAAACCATTTCCAAGATAATACCTGAGCCTAAAACATTGCTTAATTGTTTGAAAGCCTCTTTCACATACTGCAAATTGTTATTGCAATAACATCTTTGAATCATTCATTACATGTCACTTGTTAGACGCTTTTATCCAAAGCGACTTACTGTACATACTCAGTACTGTGGACAATCCCCACAGGAGCAATTTGGGGTGAAGTGTCTTGCCCAGGGACACAACGACATGCTGACTGCAGTGGGGTTTGAACCTGCGCTACACTTTTCCATTCTTTACTTACTCTAATTATGGAGTGTTTTTAAGAGTTTGTTAAGAGAGCATTCTCTGTTCTCCTTAAAACATTATTGCAGTATTCCTGTAGCAAAAAATCTATTCTTCTTTAACATGTCTTAACTCAATACATATTAACACTCATCAATGCTGTTGCTGTTTAAAGGTCTCCATGTTTTGCAGAGGCAATGGATACACACAGCATAATTAGAAGGATGCAACATGACTTTCTGAATCATTAACAACTTGTGGAATCTTAATATTCTCTACAACATGTCCTTATTCCCATCTGTTGTTTTTTGTTCAGCATGCCAGTAGTTTTCGTTTTGGCAATTACCAGCCTAGGGCTGCACCCAGAACCACCTAACAAATCACAGTAGGAGCCCAACAGCTCACTGACATTTAATAATTTACTGTTCGGGCAGAACTAAAAACAACATGCTGGGTTTAAGAGTTGTTGTAAAACAGCAGCATGGAGGAGAAGAGAATTGCTGGCAGATGACAATAAAGTGCTCCTCCCCAACTGAGCTCTGAAAACACACACCTATATGCACACAAATGAAAGTAACTTGCTTCATCTTAACAAATGAACATGATTCATAAAATACTTTCTACATCTCTTTTACATTTCAAGGACTTCTGGCTCAGTTTCAAAACATGTCGAAGATACAGGATGGATGAGGGAAGCGCTGTGTGCTCTGGTCTGCTCTTCGCACAGTTTAATTAGTAGAACCAAACAAACTGAGGCTCAGACCTAACATAACTCTATTTCTGGTCCGGGCTCAGATACTCTTGTTACATTCTCAAGAGCCTCTGAACAGCACTCAAGTTACTGGGAGACCACTACATCACACAGGAGAGACTATAAAACCACATGCATCCCATTTTAAATACACATTTACTTTCTATAACATTTTTAAGATCTCAAACAAAACAGTCTGACAGTTACCGTTCTTTGTTGTGCCAAAAAAATTAAAAAGTTCCAGAGGTGCCTCTTAAATCCTCAAGGATAACGCACAAGGGGGGGGGGGAAATGAATCAAGCTGCAACAAAAAAATCCATTCTTCTGTTACACTGTCACAACTCCCTCGTCCTCTCTCTCTCTATCTGTGTGCTGCAGCAGTGGCAGCAGCTGCTGGTGGAAGAGGGAGGGAGTTGGTGTGGGGGGGGAGAAATTGAAATACCTTCTTTTCATTCTTGTCGTCCATAGGTATGCGTGCCGTAACCGGGATCCCTTCTCCTAGTAAAAAGCCCAGCCTTGTCATCAGTTCCTGAGTGGCAGGGGAGGTGGAGCCTGCTTGTTTCTCTGCTTGCAGCTCTAGAGAGGGGGAGAGACAGAGGGGGAGAGGAGTGATCAACGTTAGCGGGCAGATTCCCTCTCTCCACTGGATGGGCCACACTGGGCCACTCGGCTGCCCTGCCCTCCTCGGCTCTGCTCTGAAAGGCTATGCTGCTCTCTCCAGCTGCTGCTGATGTGGTGCAGATCGGACAGAATGAAGCGCAAAGTAGTGAGAGAAAAAGAGAGAAAGTAAGGTGGGGGCTGTGTGTGTGTGTGTGTGTGTGTGTGTGTGTGTGTGT